CAGATTAAGAAAACAATGTTAAAGTGAAAGATTTTAAGCGCAATAAAGATCGCGTTTAGAGGAAACAATTTGAATTATTGTACGATAATTATTTGGCGCTACGTAATCAATCTTGTAAATCTTTCAATTTAATTGATTTTATATTCGTCGCTTAAACAGTCATTGAAATTTTTAATCTTACTCTCTCTTTTATTACTTCTTCCTTTTGTCCTTTTTCTTTTCTTTATCGATTCATTATTTCGCACTTGGATTAAATCAAATGACACAAATTATATTGTATTATTATTTGTAACGATTAAAACATGTCTATGCGAAATTTAACGTTAATTAATATCTTTTCTTATAGAATTGAAAACGTTCGTTTATCCGTTTTTAACGAGCTTTAAGTTATAACATTTCGTATTCAATATTTCAGTAAGAATAATATAGAAACTATATAAGTCAATATCAAATAAGAAATATAATTGAATTGATTCAACTTAATGCTCTTTCGTTTGTCACATCTCGATAAAAACAATTCGTTTCGCTTTACTAACAATCAATTAAACATTTGATACGAATAAATGAGGAGATATTGATTTATGGAAAATTTCATCTGCAACGAATCCTTCATCCATGATCTATATTTTAGTGGGGTCAACATTACTTTAGAGTTAGTAAAGGTCAGGCCAGGATCATATAGAATGAGAATATTACGCTACTATCTCGCGAGGACCCGTCGGTCGTATCTCCGTTCTTTTTGAAAGGTTTTTGTTCGTGACTAGCAGCGTGATGTAGAAGTGCAACTGCAGTTACAGGAGACCGCAACAGACTCTCTCTCTCTCTCTCTCTCTCTCTCTCTCTCTCTCTTTCTCTCTCTTTTTTTCTTTTTCTCTGACGATGCAGCGCGTGTTCTTTCCTAAGAGTAAGATGTCGTCTTGATGTCTCTTTAATGAATAACCGAGACGCACACAGAGACATTCACGGAGAAAGGATGGCTCTTACTGAGTCCTAAAGAAATCGTCATTGTTCGATGTCTGGGTACTTCGTCATTTTTGTCGGATATCTTTTGAAAAAGCAGAAAACCTTTCATCCCCTTTAACCAAGAAACTTGTTTTATCCTGGTATTTTAAAACTTATTTTAATACTGAAGTAATCTTTTAAATATACATATACACGTCTATATATATATATATATATATATATATATATATATATACATATATATATGTATATATATACACGTATGTGTGTGTGTATGTGAGAGAGAGAAAGAGAGAAAGAGAGTTTATATGTGTGTATATATATCGTAAAAAAATCTTATCTTAATACGAAAGTAATCTTTTAAATATATATACCCATAATATATTCAACATAAAAAATCAGTAATAAGTTCTCAATATCACAAAACGTCCATTAAGTTCAACGTTTTATAAATCTTTTTCCACGAATAACTTATATACATATCTCTCGAACATTAGTACGACGAATATTCACGGTTTTTATATAAGATTAAGAACTTCCACTTACTTCGTTCTATACGTTCGGGTAAATTTGGAAAGTAACGTAATTAAATGAAAAGTTTTGATAAGATAAACGGCTATGAAAAGAGGGCAAAAAAAAACGAAGAAAAAAAGAAAGAAAGAAAGAAAGGAAGAAAGGAAGAAAGAAAAAAGAACATAAAAAGAAAAGAAAAAACAAGATCGTAAGAGAGCGAACTGTGTGCCGATGGATTATTATTGTATTGGAAAAAAAAAAAAATTCTCATAAAAGAATAAGTTGCATCGATGTAAAAACGATCCATTGGACAATATTATCTTTCATGAGGGTAGTTTTAATTTGAAACGGAAACAATGAATTCCGTAAATTAGGAAAATGAAAGATACTATTTCTCTCTCTCTCTCTCTCTTTCTCTTTTTGTCTCTATCTCTCTATCTCTCTCTCTTTCTCTTTTTGTCTCTATCTCTCTATCTCTCTCTCTTTCTCTTTTTGTCTCTATCTCTCTATCTCTCTCTCTTTCTCTTTTTGTCTCTATCTCTCTCTCTCTCTTTCTCTCTTTCTCTTTTTGTCTCTATCTCTCTCTCTCTCTCTCTCTCTCTCTTTCTCTTTTTGTCTCTATCTCCCTTTCTCTCTCTCACTCTCGAATTATACCGCGTATTTTCGTTGTATACCAATGACAAAATTTTCCTTTAAAATTTTCGCTTGTCATTTTTCGAAATGTGAACTTTAAGGGGAAGAAGAGAGAAAAGTCAAGTATCGTTCGCAAAACGACAGTAGTGATCGCGGAATAGCATTTATTGAAGTAATACGAAAGTTCCGAACGTGGTAATAAGGTGAGATCGATATATCCAGCAAAGAGTAGTTTTCCTTGATAAGAGGCAAGAGTATTTTCATTTTACGAAATCAGCAATATATATTTCGGAATACAGAAACGACTATAGCTCGATATGCTAAACCAATTGCCCGGTCGTATTAAACAAGCCGCTTCGTTCTTGAATAAATCGTTTCACCCTACCTCCATCAAACGCTCGTTCAACATTTAGAGATCATTCCGTTTTGGGCTTCGACGCCATAAACTTTGCTATGTAAATTTTCATCAAATGTTAAAAGCGGATGCAATCGCTCCTATTCTTGAGGATATACATATGTACGCATATGCATATATATATGTAATATATATATGTAAAATATATATATATATGTAATATAAAATATATGAGCCGTTTATTTTGAAAGTGGCTTAACTCCATTTATCTTCAAATCGAGATATTTAAGGATAGGCGTTTTAATGAATTTAAAAATATACGTATAGGATATTAATGAGTTATACTACTTAAGTGTATCTAAAGGTGTTAAATTTATAGTTCCTATTAAAATAGTGGCAATTATTAAATGAATAATATGCGTTTTCTTATCAAGAATGGAGTTAAGCCACTTTCAAAATTAACAATCAAATTCATTATAAAATTTGAAGGTGCCCAATTCCATTCATCATAATTTAAGATGCTTCAAATTGAAAAAAACAATACTTAATTTATTTTACATATCTTTAAAAGACATCGCAAACATAATTTATACGATTCAAAACATTTTTTAAATACAAACGTACAAAATTACGAACATAAATTTATTACAAAACAATTTACTACTCATCTCGATTTTGTATGTGTGAAAAGGATTTGAAGAAATCATGATAATGCGGTGGTATATAAAGGAATAGGTCAATTATATCCTTGAATTCTACTGTTGTAATTTGTCTGATATTTTTTTACAGTGGTATCAATACAATATTTTCGAACCTTTTTGGTCTACCCCGACGTGGTAATAAATTCAGAACTTTAAAATTTTCATTTTTAGTCATTGATGTCTTATAGAAAATTTTATATTATAAAGAAATATTTTTTATTTCTTTTTAATTCAAGGATTTTCATTTATTTGTATAATAATTTTTACAATGATTCACGTACAAGTGCTTCATCGTAAAAAAATTACTTTTTTTGTTTCTACAAATTCAAATTATATACAAACGGAAAACGACTTATAAATAATAAAGTCTTATTTGTACAAATAACTTTATGGAAATTAAAAAAAAATAAATAAATAAATAAAAAAGAAAACAAAAAAAGAGGAAAGCTTCTATTTCAATAATCACTCTTAAACGAATAATAGTTTCATCGATATATTATTGCTCAAACGAAGAACACGAATTTTACGGATAAACTTTCTAATACGATACGTAAGGCTTTTCAATTAAATATTTATTAGATATCAAATCCAACAAATATTCTTTTTCTCCTTCTTGCGCATTGGAACATCTGTTCGTAAAGAATTCCTAACGATGAGACGAACGACGATTTAAATTTTTTTAAGGCCATTTAAAGCCTTTCAATATGAAATTTAGAAGAACTTCTTTTGTACCACAGGAAACAGAGAAGGAGAGAGAAAGAATGACTAAATTCACAAGGGGCGAATCAAACCTAATAAAGGACGGGGCCAAATACAACAATGAGGGAGGCAGAATTGATAGGAGGAGGGGCAGATAGAATAAGGTGCGGGGGCCAAACATCTTAAAGTCCGGGGCATGGAACCCCAGAGGTATGGCCAACTTAGTAGGATGCAGGGCAAATTACCCCAGGGGCGGTGCTAACAAAGTAGGGGCGGGGATTGATAGTCCAGTATCGGAGCAAGGACCCTGGGGGCGGGGTCAACCAGCGAGAGGCGAGACACCTTCCTAGAAGGCGGAGCCAACCTATCAAGGGGCGGGGCCAAGGACCCTGGGGCGGGGCTAACTAACCAGGGGCGGGACCAACCTATCAAGGGGCGGGGCCAAGGACCCCTGGGGCAGGGCTAACTTACCAATTGACCTATTACGTTATATATAGTACGTACTAGATATAGTACGTACTAGTTACAGTGCGTAGTAGATATAGTACGTACTATATATTGTACGTACTAGAAATAGTACGTACTAGACATAGTATATAGTAGAAATACTACGTACTAGAAATAGTAGCTACTAGAAATGGTAAGTACTAGAAATAATAACAATAATAATGACAATAACTATCATACTATGAATAACAATAATAATAATATCGCTAATAAGAAAAATAATAACAATAACGATAGTAAAAGTATTAATAATAATAAAAAGTATAATAGTAATATTAATAATAATAGTGATCATAGTAATAGTAATAATTATAATAATAACAGTAATAATAACGTTAATAATAATGAAAATAATAATAATAATAATAATTGTCAAGGATACTGATAACAATTATAACAATAATATCGAAGACAATAATAAGAATAGAAATAATAATAATAAAAATGATGTTTATAATATTAACAATAATAATAACGATAATTTTATAATAATAATAATAATAAAAAAGATAATAGCAGTAGTAGTAGTTGTATAGTAGTAGTAGTAGTAGTAGTATTAGTAGTAGTAGTTGTACTAGTAGTAGTAGTTCTAATAGTAGTAGTAGTTCTAATAGTAGTACAAGTTGTACTAGTTGTACTAGTTGTACTAGTTGTACAGTTTGTACTAGTTGTACTAGTTGTACTAGTTGTACTAGTTGTACTACTTGTACTAGTTATACTAGCTGTACTAGTTGTACTACTTGTACTAGTTGTACTAGTTGTACTAGTTGTACTAGTAGTACTAGCTGTACTAGATGTACTAGATGTACTAGATAGTACAACTAGTACAGCTAGTACTAGTACAACTAACCTAGTAGGGGCGGGGCCAAGTACTCCCAGGGGCGGGACCAATTACCCTGGGGTGGGGTTAAACCTGCAAAGGGCGGGGCTAACCTAGTATTGGGGGCGAGTCTGGACTAGTAGGTGCGGGGCTAACCTAAATGAGAAAGTTCATAGTGGAGAACATGTATCATGGAAGAAACCTCTTGGAATTTGTATCCGAAGAACCTCTCTCTCTCTCCTCGATTTTCTAAGATAGTCATACATATATACAGATATAATGTATATCAATTGAATATCTCGTTTGTTAAATGCAATAGAAAAAATATTGTTCATGGCCTATTTAAAATTATTTACATTTGAATATATATGTAATTTTGATCATATAATTATACGCGATAATACTATGTCAGTCATACTTTAAAATACAGTAACTGTGAGAAGATAAAATATGGTAGCTGAGAGAGACGACCGGTTTCGATGTAATACGATACGAATTAAACGTGTTATAAGAGAATTCCCCAAAATAAAAAGGATTCGCATTGGAGGCTTGGTAAATCGTCAGAGGACACGCATCTAGTTTTTGCATCAGCGTAAATGACAGTAACAGGGAACCGTGTTATATTGTACGACGTCGAAAAGTCAGCAGAAAAATTGTCGAGAATTTTAACGAGCGACGAAAAAGCGTGCATTGAAAATGATCGACGTGAAAAATGCCGTAAGAAAAATAAAAGACAAAAGAGAGAGAGAGAGAGAGAGAGAGAGAGAGAGAGAGAGAGAGAGAGAGAGAGAGAGAAAATAAAAGAGAATAAAAGAGAAAGAGAAATTAGTCGTATCTCTGATTAACGTGAATCCTTTTTTGACAAGGATATTAACAGATTTGCTATAAACGCTTTTTATGAAATTCTCGTAAATAATTCTCATACCTATAGGTACTTACAGGAACAATGACTATCATGCAATTTGAAATTAATTGGATATTAAATAATATTCGAGGATGGTAATAATTTTCGATTCATTTCACCATTTCCTTTTCCTCTACCCATTATCAAACTACCTAGAAATCCCTCTGCGTCGTCTACGAAATGATCTCTTGCTCCAGTTAAATTTCTGCGCATAGATTTCTACGCGTAGCTAGATAAATTCAATTAACCTAGTAAGTTTCGTTAACAACCAACGTTAAACTAACTAAACTAAAATTATCAGTAATTCCAATTTGTTATCAAGAAGCCTACGAGAGAGAGAGAGAGAGAGAGAGAGAGAGAGAGAGAGAGAGAGAAAGAGAGAGAGAAAGAGAGAAACTTCGTCTAAAGAAGAAAACGGAATTGAAGCCTAACGAACTTGATTATAAAATAGTTTACTTGTTCTCAGTTATAATTTATTTACTTATCGAATAAATTTTTATTATTATATTTCTAATATCTTTCGAACTTTTTATATAATCTTTCTTTGTAATTTTCTGTTTTGTCTAATGGAAAAAAAAAATAAAAAAAAAATATCTATAGTTCGTAATTATTTCTATATTTTTCTATAAGAATTACATTAGGATTATGTAAAATATATTCTTAGAATTATGTAAAATATGTTCTTAGAATTATGTATTATAAAATAATGTCCCAGCTGACTGTCCGATTCGAATATCATTAACTCGTATCACTGTAAACAAATTTAAAAAAATCATTGAATCTTATTGAGCATCGAAACTTATTATCGATAGGACGTTCTACCTTATCGACGCGATGATAATATTAAATTATCTACGAATAGTAGCGCTGCGATAAATTTCTTATCATCCGTCGGTATTGTAGAACTCATCATTGTAAAATTACGATTAAATGTTTTAATGGAAAAGTTAATGATATTAATGTAATGTTTTTAATTAATTTCGATCGTTTTAATTTTATCGATAATACATAATTGGTAAAGTTTTTAATTCGTGCGACTTTAAAAAAAAAAAAAAGAAGAAAGAAAAGAAAAAAGATTGAACGGAAATATTATTCTTTGCTGGTAAATTAATTATCGAAGAAAGAAAACAAAAAGGAAAGAAAAAAGAAACGAATAAAGCGTACACTTTAAATTAATTTGTACACCTTTATCATCACTGAAACGAAATGGCTGAGATAGTTAACGATAATCATAATAGGGTGCGCATTGTTTTAAACAGACGATTGCTGTGATTACGGCATGGCGTCGTCCAAGTCGTGTGTCATCGTTGATTACAGGTGAAAAACGTAATTAACGGGGTAAATTAAAATACGAATACTTTTACATGCAGATTATTAATGTACAAGCTCTCGTAATAATTTTGAAATAAAGGTGAGAGTCGAAAAGTATGAAAAATGTTATGCCACATGGAGATCAAGGGGAAATTTTGACCGTACGATTAGCGACAACGCAGATTGGTTTACGTTATGGCGGCAAATTCTAGTTGAAAACTGTACGGTTACAAATGCCAAAAATGTTTCAACGTTGGTACGTCGATGATTAAAAAGTGCAAACGAAAATATTCTTTTGATCATTTCATCTGTGAAATTCTTTTATCGTAAGAGATATCATTTGAAAATTGTAATTTTCTGAAGTCATGCATTTTAAAGCACAGTGGCGACTTATCATGGCGGCGAAATTTTCTTAGCTGTGGCCGCCGTGCTATGCGTACGATTATCATCGTACATAATATCAGCTCGTTAGAATCTCTATACGTTCGAGTGTATTTTATATAAAAACGTGGTGTGTATATGATATACAAATATTCAAATATTCATCTTTTTGTATTCATCAACTGTATACACGCGCGCTCATACTATTGTTACATTACAGTTTAGGTTGAGAGTGTATAAGTTCAAGAACCTCATCTGTGTATATTCTTATTAGTTAAAGAACTTACTTTTATAATATTCCATTTGAAACTGTACAAGCTAATGCTATCTGTACTTCTGCAAATATGGTGATAATTGCCATTGATGTGTTTTAAGATCTGGCAAGATGAATAAGCGTCGTAGAACTTCATCTGTTGCAAGTCGTGGCACAGAGGATGATGGAGAAGACTTACCGCCTGAACCAACAAAAAGGCGAAAAAAATTGGATCCTGTAAGTTTTATATAAATCTACATTATTCTATATTTATTTACCTTTGTATTTTAATTATTAATCATGTTATGAATTTATATAAAAAAATCTCTTTACTTTTTATTGTGCTAAAATAAAAATCTTTTTTGTTATTGTCATATACAAACATAAATATATGTACTAATGTATACATAATTTTTATACAGAGTGACTTGTGCCAACAATTGTATGATGTTCTTCGTAATCAAAAGAAAGAAGATGGAACGTTATTATGTGATGCATTTATACGTGTGCCTAAACGTAGACAAGAACCAGGTTATTATGAAGTAGTATCAAATCCAATAGATCTCCTGAAAGTTCAACAAAAATTAAAAACCGATGAATATCGTGATATGGATGATTTGGCTGCAGATATTCAACTCATGGTCAACAATGCCAAAGCTTTTTATATGGTATTATTAAAGAAGGAAAAGAGTTTCTATTTCTTTTATCATATTTTTTTATTCATTTATTTTACATATATTATTATTATATCTATAATACAAAATATTTGTTTCTCAATTAATATTAAAACTATATATTTCAATTTAATCTTTTTCTATTAGCGTACATCTCCAGAGTACAAAGATGCCACTGAACTTTGGGAACTATGTACGAACACCAAAAATCGTATTATGGAAGAATATGAAGATCCAGAGCCTAAAGGAAAATTAATATTAAAAGTTGGTAGATTGGTGAGTAGTCATTTAAAAAAAAAAGAAAAAAAAATATAATAAAACTTATACAGCAATAAAGTAAATCAATATTTTCATTGTTAGGCACGTAAAGCTACCTTAAAGCAAGACGACGCAGAAGATACCTCTGAAAGTTCTACAAATCCTGATGAAGAAACTATGCAACAATTTGAAGATTTATTTGCAGCAGTTATGACAGCTACAGATCCTACTGACAATAATAGGCCATTGCATACAATGTTTCAATTAAAACCATCTAAAAAGGTTTATTTCATGATCACATTACTTATCTTACGATTAATATAATTTATACACACTGTTTAGAATGTTAAAAAATATTTTAGTTGTATCCAGAATATTATGATGTAATCGAAACACCGGTGGATTTAAAAACTGTTGCAAGAAAAATTCAAGAAGGTGCATATAACGGAATTGGAGATATGGAAAAGGATTTAATGTTAATGTGTAGAAATGCGTGTCATTTTAATGAGCCGGGTTCGCAAATTTACAAGGATGCTAAACTTTTAAAGAAAATTATTACAACAGCTGCAAAGAGACAAGATACCGGATTGGGAAATAATAGTATAAAAATCACTAGTACAGCACCTTCAACGCGAAGTAAAAGAGGAAGTCGTACAATGGCTCAATCACTGATAGCACAAACAGCATTATTACCAGATGAAGATGAAGAAAGTGATGACGAAGAAGAGGAATCTCCAGAAACAGAAGAAGCAGATAATCCACAATGGCAACTATTTCAAACTATTAGAACGGCTCCTAATAATCAAGGTATTTTATTAAATAATTATTTACATAGTATAAATAAAATATAAAATTATATATTATATATTAACATTAATAATAATATTTTTATTTAGGTGTTCGAATGAGTGAATATTTTTGGAAATTACCATCGAAACGATTATATCCTGATTATTATAAGATGATTAAAAATCCTATATCTCTATTACAAATTCGTACAAAAATAAAGGTATATATCAGAAATTATTATGAATTTTACAATATAATGATTACTTTTCTTTCTATATATTATATATATGTATAAAAAAATAATAATAATAAAAAATAAAAACTTACAGAAAGGCGAATATGGTACTGTAAGTGAAGTTGCGGGTGATATGAACATAATGTTTGAAAATGCTAAGAAATATAATATTCATACTTCTAGACTATACAAGGTAATCACCATATTTATATTTTTTTTAATCAATATTAATATTCTATGACTAAACTATTATACATATATATATATTTTTTTTATTCTACAGTGTGCTGTAAAATTACAAAAAATAATGCAAGAGAAAGTACAAGAATTATTAGAGTTTGATCAGGTAAATGAAAGTTATTATAAGGTAAGTAATTACATTTTCTTTTTTTTTGTTCTCATACTTTCAAAATCAATTATAACTATACGTATCTCATTAATATTATTACATAAAAATTTTAAATATTACTTTTGATTCGATCATTACTAGTAACAATTAATCTTTTTTATTAAATTTTTATATTATATTTCCTTATTGTTTAATATTTGTAGGATTCAGATTCAGATAGCGAATCTGAAAATAGTTCGCAACAGCCAAAGCTTATTAAACGAGCATCTAATCTTTTAACTCGGGGAAAATACAAGGATAATATACCATTGAAAAAGCGTTTATATGCTTTAGTTAAATGTGTCATAGAATACGTTGTAAGTAATTCCAAATTGGGCTAAATGTATCGATGGCAGTTAGTATAAAATCTTTAATATTTCAGTGCGAAGATGGTGGTCGACAACCAATGTTGATGTTTATGGAGAAACCTTCAAAAAAATTATATCCAGATTATTATCAAGTAATAGCAGAACCTATAGATATGTTAGCCATTGAAGCTAATATAAAAGCAGAAAAGTATCAAAATGAAAATGAATTGATTCAAGACTTTAAGGTATCCCATTAAAATAAATTAATATAGATTAATTCTAATTCCTCAATTGTGAATATAATCTATTAAATAAATAATAATCAACATTTTTAGTTAATGTTTAATAATTGTCGTCAGTATAATGAGGAAGGTTCTTTAATATATGAGGATGCAAATACATTAGAAAAAGTTTTAATGGATAAGGTAAAAGAGTTAGGTCCTTTACCTGAATTAATTAAACCTAAATCAACAGCTTCTACGCCTACTAGGAACGTTGGGTATGTGAAGATTTTAATATATATTTGATTTATAATATATAATGAATACAATGATAATATAAAGCAGAGTTTAATTATATATTGCCTTCTGTAATATTTTATTCACAATTTCTACAAAACCAAATATAGGAGACCAAAGAAGGTAGTACCGTTACATTTACAAAAATTACGAACTATGTATGACACTATAAAAGATTACCATGATGCAAAAGGGAGACAATTGTCTCTTATTTTTATGAAACTGCCAAATAAAAATGAATATCCAGATTATTATGAAGTTATTAAACAACCAATGAACATGGAAAAAATAGCATCAAGTTTAAAAAATAATGGATATGATAGTCTGGATGAATTGGTGTCAGATTTTATATTAATGTTTGATAATGCTTGCAAATACAATGAACCTGATTCTCAAATATATAAGGTTTGTATTTTTCCAGATCATAGAAATTATTTAATTGTTTATGTAAGTAACTAAAAGAAATTCCTAATTACATCATCATTTGTCAATAATTGCATTTATTAAAAAAACATTTCTAATATTCTATTTATCTCACTTCTCAGAAAAGCAAAAATCTTTTATAAAATGTATGAAGTTTAATGTGATTTTATTAACCTAATCACATTATAATTAAAATTATACAATTTATAACTAAAAATACTTTAGGAAGAGCTATTTCCATTATACAAAAAAAAAATCACACATCAAATAACTAATATTTTCCTCCTTTTCTTCTTTTTTTAAATAAACATTAAAAAAATTATTTTTACTCCAACTAAAACTGAATTAATTTTTATTAAAATAAAAACTGACAAATTTAATATTGAACAATTGAAAATTATTATAATTTTTATTGTTCGTAATTATGCAGAATACGAAACGATAAACGCCAATACTTGGATTGAAATTTCGCGCTAAAACATGGAAAGCTTAGGCTGTTTACGGATAAAGGGTTTGAGGTTACGTACAATCCGCATCCTTCGTGCTATCGTCGGTTTAATAATCGTGCAAATTAATAAAAATTGCGATCATCAAATTATAACAAAATAATGAAAAAATGAAATCAATTCTGTTTTTACATATATCAAATGCGTCAAAATGTTATTCTCGGTTCAAATGTTAACGTGAAAGTTTTCCAAATTAATTAATACTCCATTGTGGTCTAGTTGTCTGATCTGTATTGAATACTTAAAGACTTAAAAAAAATGAACAATCAAGGTTATATCCAACAATTAAATAATGTTAGTAATCACAAACCTTTAAAAGTTCGACCGTGTTTTATAAGGTTATTAAGAGACAAAGATGTAGATCAGCGTACAAGAAAAAAATACAAAAAAAACGAAGCAGAAGTAAATATCTACAATTAGCAAAGACATTTTTAGATTTCATGAGAAACAAAATATTAAATATTAAGAATATCCTTTGTTTATAAAAGCAATTAAGGTCAAATAAAATTTCAGGATGCTTTAATTCTCCAACGGCTAGTATTACAAACTAAATTACAATTGAGTGAGGACGACGAAAGTGTACCGGACGTATCTGCGGCGATTCAAGAAATATTAGCTACGATATTTACAGCTCTTTATAATCATCAAGATGAAGAAGGAAGATGTTATTCAGATTCTATGGCCGAACTTCCAGAACATGATATTATAGAGGGAAAAAAGTATGTCATATATATATATATATATTTTTTTTTTTTTTTTTTTATTAATATAATTTATTTTAAAATTATTAATAAATGTTTGTTTTTTTATTACAGAATACGAGGTTTATCGTTGGATTTAATTAAAAGAAGATTAGATAGAGGTGTTTATAAAAGGTTGGATCGATTTCAAGAAGACGTATTCATATGTTTAGAGCGAGCACGAAGACTCTCACGTACAGATTCTCAACCCTTTGAGGATAGCGTTGAATTACAAGCATTTTTTCTTCGGACACGTGATGAAATAACACGCGGAGGAGATTTGTTACATTCCCCATCATTAAACTATACACTTCTTGATCTTTCTGCACAAGTAGCAGAATTGAAACGTGTTAAACATCAACAAGAATTAACCATGCCTAATGAAGATGAAAGTTGTGATGGGAATGAAACTAAAGTCTGTAATGTTATTGTATATTTATCAAAAATTAATAATAATATAATAATAAATATGAAAATATATTATATTAAATGTTATTTTAGGATTCTGAAACAAATACCAATACAGAGGGTAATCATAACGATGGTGGAGGATCTATGAGTTTTAATCAAGAAGTATATAGAGCTGGTGATTTTGCTTATATAGAACCAACTGAAAGAGGGATGGAATATAGCGTGGTATTAATAGAACGTCTTTGGACCAATACAGAAGGACAACAAATGTTATATGGAAATTTATTCTACAGGCCGAGTGAAACCTATCATGTTGCATCTAGAAAATTTCTTGATAAAGAATTATTTAAAAGCGATGCTCATGTTGCAGTGCCATTAATTAAAGTTGCAGGCAGATGTTGTGTATTAAGTGTAAAAGATTATTTTAGAATGCAACCAGAAGGATTTTTGGAAAAAGACGTATATGTATGCGAATCTAGGTATTCTACAAAAGCAAGAGCTTTTAAAAAAATCAAAGTATGGAATTTTGATCCAGATCATTTAAAATTAATCCCACGAGAAAAGCCTTTAGAACCAAAACGTGTTATTTCCGTATATAAAGAAAGATTGGAAAAACATAAAGAAGAAATTGCTGAATTAGAAGAGGGAGAGAAATTAACAGAAAAAGAAAGGCCTGTATGTAATTAATTAATTTAAATTGTAATTTTAATATTTCTATAATTTTATTGCACAAACCATTTTTTTTCTTCCCCCTTTTATATTGTAGAATGTGATATTATACAATCCAGATGATACTGAAAATACATATTATGAACAATATAATACGTGTGCCGGATCTGTAAAAACTGGAGATTTTGTTTATGTGGCAACAGATGGTGGCAGACAACAAATAGCTCAAGTTGATGCAATATGGGCAACGAAAGAGTATGTACAAATATTTATAAAATTCATCAATAATTTGAAAAGGAAAGAAATATCTTTAAAAAAAAAAATATTTAATATTTTGCAGTGGAAAATGTTATTTTAAAGGTCCTTGGTTATTAATGCCAGGAGAAGTTCCACATGCGCCTACTAAATTATTTTATAAACAAGAATTATTCCTATCTACAGTCGATGGTACCCACCCTATTGTTGCAATTGTTGGAAAATGTGCCGTCCTCGATTATGGAGAATATATATGCAGTATGTATATAAAATAATATATAATATTAATAAAACCTTTAATTAAAACAACATATAAATGCAATAATATGTTTAGTGAAATTACTAAACTAATAATAATTTACAGGTCGACCAACAGAAATTCCAGAAGATGATATATATATTTGTGAATCTCTTTATGATGAAAGTAAAAATTTAATGAAGAAACTAAATCAAGAAGGATTAAAAAAATTTAATCATAGTGCTACCGTTACAGAAGATGAAATTTATTTCTTCCGGAGACCAATTAATCCTGCTAAAGTGAGTGTACTTCCATGTAGAATATATTAACTTAAATATTAATGACACCTTAAAATCAGATAGATCAAAAATAACAATGTACAGCTTCCTTCTTATACGCAACTAACTATAAAATTATTGCTTGGCATGTAATGCGTGTGTTGTAGGTTCCGGGTGACGTGGCTCAGACGCAAAATCAAGTCAAGTCCGTCACGCCCAGTTCAGCTCAGTTTGAAATGGTAATTACTAATTTACAAAATTGTACTATCTATCCTGAGGGAAGCAACATCAAAATTGCATGTATTTAATACCACACGGATTGATACAACAAATTAACTTTCAATATAATTAAATTATTAATAAATTAAAAAATAAATAAAAGAAAAAAAAAATTATTATTCTTAATATATCTTGATGTATCAATCTGTCAATATGCATGATGTTATTTTATGCCGGCATATTTATTTTCTTTTATTATTATGTGCAGTTATGTTTTTACACATAGCACTTATAGGGTGAGCAATAATTTAGATACAAGGAAGAAATTCAGAGCACCTGTTGGGTTTATATTGTTAAATATGTAATAGATATACAACACCACCAAAAGTTCTTGCTTCCATGTCGCTCTAACCTGATTCACACACATGTAGAAATGAAAAAAAATTGCTTTAAATGGAGTGCATAAGATACTAATCTTTATACTGCAAATTAAACTTGAATTGATTTATCATATCTTTAAAATAATATATATATATATATTTTAATATACATACATATATATATATATATATATATATATATATATATATATATATATATATATATATATATATATATAGTCTCTTGGGGCTTGAGCTGTTTTATTGAAAAAAAAATAGTTAAATTCAATACATAATGCATATTTTAATACAAAAGGATAACAATTGCAAAGCCTATGTTAAAATGTATTCCGTTGTTTGTAATATTGTGTAAGATTATATATTGAAGACTTAACAAATAACATAACATTCGGTAACGGATAATGAAGGTAACAAAACATAAATGGTATAGGAAGCATCGCCATTGTTACCGAAGCTGGAACCTGATGTACTAGGCATGGGAGTAGGATTAGGAGTGGGAGTAGGAGTAGGAGTTGGGGAGGACAGCATGGATGCTGGTGGTCCACCGTCCGTTGGATCTACTGAAGCTCAACCGGTGCTCTCCAATATTCAGACACCTGTATCATCTAAAAAGGTAGGCCTTACATTGAAATTATTTGCTTACCAAATTGTCACGTGTTATATTTTCATTTTTACACTTTATTTTTATTTAAAAAAATATGCCAGCATACTTTGTGTTTTTGCACCATTGAATTTTCGTTCTCTAACAACATTAGATCCAAAATTGGATGTGCTCTTCTTGAAGGTATACAGGCAATATTTGTTCATGTACGATGGCATTATAATTTGTTTTCTTCTGTTTAGAAAACGGCGGGTAAAAAATTAGTTACGGGCTATATTTTATATTCAAGTAAAATGCGAACGCAGATTACGCAAAACAATCCCGAGTCATCCTTTGGAGAGATTAGCAGAATAGTTGGCAATGAGGTATTTATTTCTTTATTCATAATTATTTTCTATTTTATTAGAAAAAAATATTTTAAGGGTTAAAAGTATGCAATATAATAATTAATCTGAATGAACGTGTGTATACATAAAATATACATATATATATACATATAATATTTAAGAATGTTGAAATGAGATCTCTCGCATACTTAATCATCCTTTCAAACTCGTTTTTTATGATGTACATAAACCAAAAAAAAAATATTATAAATAGTAAATAATGGTTTATATATTTCAGTGGAGAAAACTACCAGCAGGAGAGAAACAAGCTTGGGAAGAAAGAGCTATTAAAATGAATGAAGATGGAGGACAGTTAAAAGGATCATCTATTACAGTTGGATCAAATGCTTTACAAGATGTAGTATATGAATGTTGTTGGGACAACTGTGATTGGCAATTTGAAGATATGACTGATTGCATTGATCATTGTATCGCTGAACAAAATGGACATGTACAATCATCTTTTACAAATGCTGCTCCTGGTAAATGCTTAAGAAATACTCAAGAAATCATATCAAATAATATTATAATCTATAATATACCGTTCATTGTATTCAATAGATGTTGATTTTCAATGTCAATGGCGTGGTTGTGGTCGTACTAAAAAATCTGTACCACCATTTCCAAGTGTACAGAGACTTGCAAGACACGTTAAAGAGGTACATATTCTTAAAGCAAATGGACGTATCATCCCACCGTCCGAAAGGAGCAAGTACGAATTCTACTATTTTATAAAATATATTTAATTTATAAATTTAAAGAATTTTCATTAATTCACATTTTTTTAGAAACTACATGGCTTCGAAAGGTCCTACGATACTTCCACCAATGGAAACAGGTAAAGAGTACTTAATAAATGTTGAAAAAAAATGCTAGAAAATATTTATTATTTCATAATCGATATGCATTAGAAACATCGGCTGCAGCAACACAAACCAGTAATATACCAGCTACCAAACAGCCTGAACCAATGTTCGTTGCTGTTCCTCCAAGGCCGAGTAGAGTATTACATTCGGATGCATATTTACGGTAAAACTGTACATTATAAAAATGTACAATCATTATAATGAATATAATTACTTAATATTGATTCACATTACTAACATAAAATTAATTCTTAAACGAGATCAAACTTAAATAAATAACATAAATATATAATATCACAATTGATCCGCAGGTATATTGAAGGACTAAATGTAGAAAACCGGTACATATCAAATTGGGATAAACAAATGAATGCTACTCCTGAAAATACCCAAATTCCTGATATAACAAAATTACCTGCTGAATGGTTGGGCAATGGTGTGGGCAACCATGGAAATGTGGTGAATGCCTTATGGACACTCAGAAATATGATGATGCGGGATGTGTTAGCTATCAATAAAACTTTATAGTTTATAAATCGTTAAGATCTGTAATTTTTAACAACTCGATGCTACCTTAACTACAGTTTATAGATCCGTCGATGCTACCTTAACTACAGTTAATAGGTCCGTCGATGCTAGATGAAAGACTGACAAGCGCGGATGGTTTCAATAATACTATATTTATGTATTATGATTTCCTGATTAATTTTTTCATTACTATTTAAGAATATTTAATTTTTCTTTTGAAAATTTTAAATAATATGTCTTATTGCCATAGCTATAAAATGAAATTTTACACTTATACAAATATTTTTAATCTATTATGCATTACCATAGAAATTTTTATATTAGGTAATGCTTGGATTAGCCAAATGTACTTTTTTACACAGAGATAATAAGATTTGACAAATATTTCTCTTTGCACTATTTAAAACAAAAACAAGGGGCATAGACTATAGAGAACTTCCTATAAAAAAAAAAAAAAAAAAAAAAAAAAAGAAAAAAAAAGAAAAAAAAAATATTTTATGTAAATATTTTGCTAAGTTTTATTTTTTACTTCTCATGAATAAGATCTTGTATTTTCTGTATTACATGCTATAAAACTACAACTTGAGAAGTACTCTTGTATTGTTCATTTCATGCAAAATCCTAACATTAGAAAACTTTTTTTTATTTAATCTTTGTTTAAATTATATTAAATAAAAAAAGTATAGAAATGGGGAGTTTGGTACATAGTTTTCCATAAGAAAATATTTATTAATAGATCTTTTGTTAATTTGATTTAATAATCTATTTTTGTTTAATGTATTTTCAGAAGATTAAATACAAAATTTAATGAGCTTCTGAAATGATTTGTACAGTAATTTCAAAGAATATTTATATCTTTGGCTAATATGTTTTAATTTTTCTGTACTTTTTTAGAAAGTCTATATACATATATATATATATGTATATATATCGAAAATGTAAATGTGACGAATATATATGACTCTTTAAATGAATAAATAAGATAATTATGTACATTCATTTTTACTGATAGTACACAAGATTAAACGTTAATAAAATTCAAGTGCAAATTATTTTTATAAATAATAAATCGTTCATGATATATTTCATATATAAATATATGTCATTCAATTTCGAACTTTCTTTTAATACTTAGTCAGTTACTCAAATTTTTAATTACAAATTTTTCTACTCTGTGTACTTATAGAGTATTCAGTACGCATATTTCGAGATTTTATGAAATAAAAATTTATCTATAAATTAAATATTGAATTTCCCGTATTATATATTTAATTAATAAATTAAAAAAAGAAAATCTAATGTATATCATTTCACCTAGCATTGACAACCATAACACCATAAAAATATAACTTGTAGTTGTGTATTTAGAACAAAAAAAAATAAGTACTATTATTTACTTATCAAATAAGATATACATTGATATGAATTTTGTAAGTTAACGTTGAACTGAGATTGTTATTTTTTCTTGTACTTTGGATATACATTTATATCTTTGAATGAAAGTAGGATATAAAAGTATTTTGTGCTCAAAAATCGCTCACCCTTCCACCAATTTGCCAATCACCCCATTTGGTTGGTTCCTTTTCGCTATCTGTGATTAATTCTCCAGTTTCAGGATCAGTTTCTGTCAAAACCAAATCGACGAAACGTTCACCTGGTTGTACACCTATTTATATAAATAATATATAAAAATTAACGATAAATAAATATTTATATTTAGGACATATTAATGTTTCAATAAATTTAAATTATATATATATTTTTACATACGTGGTATCGGTTCTAATTTAAGTTTCTCATGAAATTGTTTCATACGTTCCGATTCTTCTTTCTTTACTTCCGAACGTTTTGTTGCTCTGATATTACCTACGGATATTACATATATTCTTGATATAAATATCATTTATTATCATCAATCAAAACATACTCCATAAAATTGCTAATGTATTCCTGAAACTATTTATAATTTATACCTGTCATTAATGTGTTAATTCTCTTCATTAATGAAGTTTGTAATTGCATATGTATATTAGTACGGGTCAACATGCTTACGATACTCTATAGTCAAAAATTAGAGTAAAATTTTTAAATAATATTGATTTATGATATTATTAATCAAAATTCTGTGTTGATTAGTTACGAAACAAAATATAAACGATAGATAAATTTTCGCAAAAATAAACGCATGGTGAAAATAATTATAACAAAAAAGCATCTATTTAAAAACTTATAAATATTCAATTTGAAATACTTTTTCAATTCGTATATCTGCGTACGAATTCGTCAATTCTGTTAAATAATTTTAATTATAACATATTTACTTAATATTTCTTAATATTTACATATTTACTAATATTCAATTGGAAGCTCATTAACGACTTTATCAGTATTTCTATATAAAAAATTGTCTTACCACAGATAAAGTCAATAATGAATTTCTTTACAAATACAATGAAAATATTTAGCCTCTATTCTACATTGATCAATGAAATTTTTGACATTACAATATTGCAATTTATTTTTTATATTTCAAATAACAATTATAATCTTATAGTCATTAGAGTTCAGATTAAAAACTACTATACTATATATATATATATAGTATAGTATACTAAAATATACTATATATATATATATATATAGATATATATATATATATATATATATATATATATATATATATATATATCTTCAAAAATGAATTTATTTATTTATTTTTTTTTCTTTTTTTTTTTTTAAATTAGAAAAAACATATTTTTTTAATACGATTAAACTAACAATAAAATTAAAGAAAGATTTACTGAACGAATAGAATAAAAAACTAAAAATTATACAAGTAAAATTTTTGAAATAAATATTAAAAGAATTCTCCTATAATAGATATTCGTTGTAGGAATGATTGCGACTGACAAGACAAAGTCTGATACATCAATCTTGCTGTCGTATTTGTTGGATACATATTTTTTTTTCTAATATTTTCTAACATAATTTGTGGTTCAAATCTTGTAATTTGATTGCTAATTGCTTTCTTAGATAGTTTTGAATTATTCTGAACTGTTGTAGAATCATATTGGTCATTTGAAGTAATAGATGTCTCAAAAGTATCTGTAGTTTCACTATCGTCAGCTTTATAAATTACATTTGGTTCTGCTATAACTTGCATCTTTGCGGAATCAGAATGAAGGGTTTTATTCTTATTAGTTTCATCTTCATTTTTTGAAACATTTTCAGAAAGAAATTCCTGCATAAATAATGTTTCAACATTTTCATACTTTTTATCTTTTACTTCATTTGTAGGTTTATGTCTCAATTGTGATAATTTTATTATTTCAACAAAATTATTGGTCTCATTTTTATTTATATTATCATCTTTATGAATTGTATCTTTTGTATTGTATTCTTCTTTTAAATCGTATTTTGTAAAAAATTTATCTGAAGTTATTTTATCCGGTAACATATTTTGTATCCTGCGACAGCAATATAATGCACCAGGATCAATGGGATGTGCTTCTGTATTAAAAACATATCCACCAGAATCAACAATACAATGACCCCATTGTGTTTTTATTACATCCCCTTGTTGTCCATTGTTATGAATAAAATTGTCTGGATCAAAAAGAAGATAAAGATATTTTGTTGTTTCAGCAAGAAAAAAAGATTCCATCCTATCTGCTTTTCGATGATCACGTACATCATTAATGGTTGCATAACCACATTTAGTTTTAGCACTATGTTGTAAACTTCTAAGTATATCAACTCCTACTTGAATTAGATATGGGTCTCCAGTTGCTCTATATAAATACATCACAGATTCTATAAGTTCTGGTCTTAATGGATAACTTTCTCGATTTGTTCCAGCTTCACCTTGGGGAATATTATAAAATTCTGGAGTAAAGCCAAATTGTTTCCAAACACGATGATAATTATGTAAAGATTTCATGGCATCTGCAATTTCTCCAAACAGACTTAATATACCAGGCCAATAAGCATCTAAAGATTGAAACACTGGTAAGGTCACTTGACCTTTTGTCATAGAAACCCATAAATGCCAATCCTCTCTGCGAATATATTTTTCAATAGCAGCTTTGTGTTCATGAAACATTGCAGCTAACCATGGATCCTGGAACAATAGCGTGCCTTTTGCTAAATATTCAAAATATGAATCAATTCCTGCACCAATTCCAGAATCTTGAGCAGTCCAATGACCAGTCAAAACATCAATATGATTACCAACTAATCCAATATTAGATTTATAATGATTTAATGCTTTTAAAGCATTCATAGCAACTTCTTCATAAAGAGGATCACCAGTTAAACGAGAAAGTGTTCCAAATTCCAATAGAAAGGTACCTATGCCTGCTGTACATGTAATGCTTGTTTCTCCTTCAGGAACTCCATATTTCAAATTAACAGTTCCATATGGCATTCCTGTTGGTGTATCAAAGGCAGGAAGTAATCTTTTAGCCATATCTTCAGCAAGACGTAACAAAGGACCATTACATGGCCATCCTGGTTCTAAAGGTACACCAGCTTTGCGTGACAATAAATGAGCACTCAAAAGTCCACCAACCACTCGTATGTTTGTTTCAAAAACAGATACATTAATATTAGCTTCAAAATTTTCCCTATCACTTATTATCTCGGCTACACGACGAAATTCTGAAAAATTTCCCATAACAGCTAAAGTATCTAAAGCGTCGATCAACGTTAATGAAAAACTACCCCATGTATCAAAACCATCGCAACTAAGTGATCTCAATTCGTCATAAGGATATGCATAAGTTAAATAACTGGAATATGCATGATCAAACATAGATCGCACTTCTTCTCTGAGAGCAATTATGTCTTTCTTTTGATATTCTCGTCCAGCACTTACGAGTATTAGAAGTCCAAAAAATAAAGCAGTCTTGAAAAAAATCATTATGGAATAAACAATTTCTTATTTTCACTCCTTTTTTTCTCTAACTTCTCAGAAGATTAAGAATTTCTATTTAAAAAAATTATAAATAGTGAAAAAAACGAGAAAGAGAAAAAGAGAGATATAGAGAAAGAGCTGCCTTTAATAAAATAATATTAAATTTCAAAATTATCTACATTTTTATCTGCTAACAGATTTTTATGTCTAACACGACATATAATCAACATCCGTGAACTACTCTAATGTATTGATCAATACTGTATATACGATTGAAGTCACTGCGATTTGCGCTCTCTCTGGTAGTTTAATTTTTTATCGAATTATTTTATTAATCCTTTACAATCGATAATAATAAACGAAATATATTGTTAATATTCATTTTAAATTGATGAATATCTCTTTCGATAAAGTACAAATATATAATAATGTTATTATTAAAAATATATTATATTCATATAAATTATAAATAACGTAAAATATTTAAATTACATATCTTGTTTGTAGCTTTTAATTTTTGACGTTTTACTAATAATGGCGCTATTGTCGATAAAGTCATTTTTACATTACGAAATTGATAAAGAAATTTCAAAAGGATATTATAGTAACGAAATAATTTTTTATTGTATTATTAATATTTCTAATTATTCAATATATTTTTAATTAAATGTACTTACGTAAGAATATTAATTATATCGGTAGCTTCCTTCTTATATATTTATACGTTTTGAAATAGAGAAACGCGTAACGTTAATCATTGTAAAAGGAATTAAGATAAGTAAATAAAATAGTTCTTTATAATGAATCATACGTATATCTTGTTACGTATGATTTCATACTGTGTATATATTTTACGTATCTTACGTGTTACGAATTATCACGTCATAAACATAGCGTCATAGATAACAATGATTCTATTCTCAATGAGTCGTGCATAAATTATTGACTAACGATCGATCTAAATATATATATATATTAATTTCTAAGAATGTTTAGAATTTTTTTTTTATTTTTTATTCAAATACGTCATCTTCATATTACGAATTGTATTTTATTATTCATATCAAAGAAATAACTGGTCACGTCACTTGTGATTGTAGGTCGAAACATATATTCTGGATGTATTATACATATATATATATATATATAGGGGCGTACATATGCGTATTTACCCTGATTCATTTCCACAGAAGTGTGTATTAAATGCATCGAAGATAGTTCATTCAAAAAAGTTGTTTTGAATGAAAGAGAATTGCAAAAAAAATCACACGCATACACACACACACATACATGCAGGTACGCACACACACACACAATATTAAACGTTATAAATTGATATTATTTTTTATTATTTTATTGTTGCATTTCACTCTTAAGATTTGCAAAACTCTATTTTGTTTTATTTGTTATATAACTGTTTCTTTTTTCTTCTTTCTTCTTTTTTTTTTTTTTTTTTTTTTTTTTTTATGAAAGCTCGATAGCCAAAAATATGACAATGGTTTTATTAATAAAAATAAAACAATTGATTTATTAAATAATATATAAATCCAACCAAAAAGATATTATTTCAAAGAAGAGCCTTATTGGCGTAACCAATCCTAGGGATAATATCACTGAAGAGAAAATTCTTATTCAAAAATTAAAACTAATTTATCAAAGGACAAAAGAATACATTCATTCATGTATTCAAATATATACACATACATATGTATTCTTTTATATTAAAATCGTAGTTACAATGTAGAAAAAGTATTAATCAATAAGAAAAAAAGAAACTAGTTAATGCAATTCTCTTAACGTAATGATACGTCACATATAACTATTCTTCCTCTCTTTCTCTCTCTCTCTCTCTCCTCTATCTTCTTCGTTTACTATAGTACGATGAATCATCCAATCTCCTTGTCCTTATTTTCTTGCAGTTTCCAATTGGCGCCGGTTTGGCGAATTTGCCAATGCGCCGATACGTTCTCTCTTCTATCCTCTTTACTCTTATATTCTCTTTCTTCTCTCTCTCTCTTTTTCTCTCTCTCTCTTTCTTCTCTCTCTCTCTCTTTTTCTCTCTCTCTCTTTCTCTCTTTCTCTCTCTCTCTCTCTTTCTTTCTCTTTCTCTCTCTCTTTCTTTCTCTTTGTCTTTCTGTATCTATCTTAAAACATGGCTCTGCCGCGTCATCGACCAAAGTTACGTCGTAGAGTAGTCGTCGTCGACGATCCCACCTTTCATATTTTCATCTTTTTTCCTCTTCCACTTTTATCCTTCGTCACACATTACATTCGTAACATGTCCGACGAGATTTCAGTCTCTCGGTTTCGTGCTTACAGTCTACACCGGTTCATCGTCGATGATCGTTCATACGGTTAACTTTAAAATCTAATTTTCGTTCTAAGGTCTTCGATTTATCGATTACCCGGAAAGTCACTAAAGGTGAACGCACAAGAAATTATTTCTATTTTTTTTTTAATTATCACTAATTTTTCTATTAATTTTCCAAATTAGTTCTTTATCTCATGGCTTTTTTATTACACAAAATATTGAAAATAAATCGTTATCGCGAGAGAATTCGATCGATAACAATGGCGAATGTTTCGAATATAAATAAAATATATATTTATAATTTTCCATTAGTTCTATTCGATAACGATATAATGTGTTTTGAAGATACTTGTTTATCATCGTGCATATAACAACGTGATGATGGATAACAATGAGTTTTACGATAATACTTTTATTATTAATTATCTGATTTATTATTTATAACTAACTGATATAATTCGTTCGTTTATTACGTCGTATATAACGTTGCGATAGATGAAAAGAAAAAAGAAAAAAAAAAAAAAAAAATAAAGTACAAATTTGCAATTAATACGTTTATTACTTATTACGCTATATACTTTAATTTCAATGTTTATCAATACTTTATTATATAATTCATTTTCTAAACGGTCGTGATTTAGTTATATACATTATGAATGAGTTTTCTATTTTTAAACAATGATGCCATTATACCATTGACAGATAGATAATCATATTTTAAATATAACTTTAGAAATTATAAGAAATAATTTTAATAAATTAATATTTATTTGATCGACACACTTCACTTTTTTATTACACTTTTTTAATTGTTCTTTCAAATCTTTTTTTTTATTACCATCATCTTTAAAAATTTCTTTAATAATTCTGATCAAATATAGATAAGAAATATCTGCAAAAAATATCTATATAAATTATGCAATATCATTGTATCAACGTACCTATTTTAGAGTTCGTTTTTATTACAACAACGTGATAAATAAAAAGATTAATAATTTGTAACAGAACATTTGTCACTTATTACTTTAGACACTATATATATATATATAATATATATAGTATATATATATATATATATATATATATATATATGTATATATACTAACGTATTGTTATCAATACCTCTATCATACAATTAATCTTATCCAATACGTAACATATTAATATACCACGTTAGAACTTGTTTTCATTGCAACCAATAGAACGTTTATTATTTATTATGTTAGTTATTATTTTATATACTATGGTGTCAATGTTTATCAATTTAAGAGACTTGAATTATAGATAGTTTCTCTATTTACAAACAATAATATTACATTATATAATACTCTATTAACATGAGTCACACTTCAAAAGTAACTTTGAACAAAAAAAAAAAAAAAAAGAAAATAAAAGATCAAGATAATGATAATTTTCAACAATTCAAACTCAACTTGACTTCTAGAATGTCATATGAAAAAATAACTGTTCAATAGAGAAAACATAAATACCAACAAGATTAAATAATACATTTTATATTTGTCATTGAATAGCTTGACGAATCCACCGGCTTCTCTGAATTCCTTTCCTTTCCTTTCCTTTCCTTTCCTTTTCTCTCCACTACTGCTTATTCTCTTCCTACTTCTCCTCCTTCTCCTCATCCTCCTCCTCCTCTTTCTCCTCTTCTTCTTGCTATCCTCCCCACTCTCCACAGTTGGTCCAGTGTTTCATTATACCGTATGAAGTACACATAGCAACCGACAGTTCGTGCGACGAGTTGGTACCGGTAACGGTGTTTGGAAAAGATTGCGTCTTCTAACTACGAAAGAAGAAGGTAAAGGAAGCCACACCCAGAGAATAATAATTCGTTCTATTTATTTTCAAATCCAAAAGTCGTAATACGAAGGAAGTTTCTTTTTCTTGTTTCTTGTCTCTTTCATTTTTTTTCTTTCTTTTTTTTTTTTGTTCTATTTTTCGTTTCTTTTTCTCTTTTCCCTCGCGAACGATGCGCAAAGTACAACAATTTAATTCTCTTCGATGAAAAAGAACCAAAATGGCGGACTACGTTTCAATCGTACCACGTATAATATTCGAATATTAATCGATGAGGTTATAAAATTATTGTCGCATTTTATTTTTTAATCGATACGCGTCAATGTTTTGTTAAAAGAATAATCAATCATTGTTTCGATGTTTATTTTGTATTATCGTTTTTTTCGTCTTTCTCCCCCCCCCTTTTTTTTTTTTTTTTTTTTTTTTTTTACTTTAATTCAATTATTTTACTAAAGATCGATGACCTTGCGTGTTACTGTGAAACCTGCTGACACACATTTTACCTCCTCGCCCTCGTAATTACGAGGAATAGGATGATATCCGTCGATCGATAATGTCCGGTGTTTCGTGTTACGTTGAAAGACGAGAGTTTATACATTCTTAGATCGTTAAATGATACGTAATTAAAATAATTTGATAATAGTAGATAGTAATTTGATAAAAGCTCGATTTACATATACATATATACATATATATATATATATGAATCTTTTAGGTATATTTCAAAGGAAATAAAATATTTAAAAAAGTGACTTAAGTAATCAAGTTTATGAATTAAATCAATCAGATTATTTAGATAATTGAAACTTTCGCCATAGTTGATATTTGTTCTGTTGAATGATTATTATTGCGCATAAGGAGATAATACTATAAGAACATCGTTTAATATTCCTGTTTTTTTTATTCTCTATTGTATTTTTTTAGAGATAAAAGAAGAGATGTCTCCCAGTCAATATTATCACGTGCAGGTATGTACCAGCATATATATATATATATATATATATATATATATATATATATATATATATATATATATATATATTAAATATTCATATTTTTATTATCATACGTATCGAATGAACAAAGTTCAATTATACGAAAGAATTTTTTTCTTTCCTCATTTTTTTATTTTTTAAATATCCCGCGCATTTTCATAGTGCACGCCAACCGTCTACCCGGCTGATCCTTTTAATTCCGAGGAAGATGCAACTCTTTTACGAACGGCAATGAAGGGCTTTGGTACTGACGAACAAGCCATTATCGATGTACTTGCCCATCGTGGAATCGTTCAGCGTCTTGAAATCGCTGAAAAATTTAAAACGATGTACGGGAAAGATCTTATCTCTGAATTGAAGTCCGAGCTTGGCGGTAATTTTGAAAAAGCTATTATCGCCTTGATGACACCACTTCCAGAATTTTATGCAAGAGAATTGCACGATGCAATTTCTGGAATGGGCACGGACGAAGGTGCTCTCATCGAAGTATTAGCATCTTTAAGCAATTATGGGGTTAAAACTATAGCTGCCGTTTATAAAGAGCGTAAGTTTTCTTATTCCCTTTAATTTTTTTTTTTTTTTTTTTCTTTTTTTTTTTTTAGATCAAATGTTATTGGCGAAATGAAGAAAATTAATTGTTTTTTGTTTTTTTTTTTCATTTTATATGTATATATATACATGTAGTATACGATACTGATTTGGAGGATGATCTCAAAAGCGATACTTCCGGTCATTTCAAGAGACTCCTTGTTTCGTTGTCATGTGTAAGTTAAAAAGATATTAATAGATTATAATTGATTATAATTGATTATAATTTATATAATTTGATAATGTTATTTCAGGCAAACAGAGATGAAAGTTCGGAAGTCGACGTTGCGGCCGCTACGGAGGATGCTGAAAAACTTTTAGCCGCTGGTGAAGAACAATGGGGAACGGATGAGAGTACATTTAATTCTGTATTGATCACGAGAAGTTTCCCACAATTAAGACAAATTTTCAAAGAATATGAACGCCTGGCTGGTCATTCATTGGAAGAAGCTATCAAACAAGAATTTTCAGGCTCTCTTGAAGATGGTTATCTAGCAGTTGGTAAGGAAATATTGCCATTAATTAGATGAATACGACGTAGAATTTGAAGAAAAAGAAGAAAAAAAAAAAGATTTTCTTCGTAGACTGATTTTTTATTTTTTTTTTATTTTTTTTATTTTTTTTTTTATTTTTTTATTTTTTTATTTTTTTTTTTTTTTTCAGTAAAATGCGCCAGAGATAAAACCTCGTACTTCGCTGAAAGACTATACAAAGCTATGAACGGAATTGGTACTACTGATTCAACGTTAATACGAATAATAGTAGCACGATCGGAAATTGATTTGGGTGACATCAAGGAGGATTATCAGAAAATTTATGGGACATCGCTTGCAGGTGACATCGATGTAAGTTAATTAATTTTTTTAAATGATGTTGATAATCTTCATTTTCACTAAACTATGTATATATATATATATATATATATATATATATATATATATATATGTATATATGCACATATATATGCATGTATATATATATATAATAAATATATATAAAACCGCATATTATTTGTTCATTGCATTGACATCATTTACATAGACTATTTCTTTTTTCTTTTTTAACTCTCACACTTGCGCTATATATCTCCTACCTTCCCATAAATTTCCATAAATTTCAGGATGACACTTCCGGTGACTACAAGAGACTCTTGCTTGCCCTACTCGGATGAAAACGTTTTGATCGTTCAACATCTCCTTTTTGCTTTTAAATCGTATTTTAATACCATGGATGATACGTAATGATTATCTCTTCTAAATTTTAAGTTAATTAGTTTCTTCTCAATATGATTCTCATGATTGAGGGTGAATAAGATTTGATTATGTATGTGTGTGCGTGTTCCAATATTTCTTTTTTTTTTTATTCGTTTCGTTTTTTTTTCTTTTTCTTTTTTCCCCCCGCCCCCTTCTTTGTCCCACCTCGAATAAAGTGCAGATAATCGCATTTATAGATCATGCTGGTCTGCACTTTAAAATTACATTGTATACAAAACTTTCAAGAGAAAAGATTAATCGAAACCTTTTTACAAAACAAAGGCTGTGAGCTACTATAAAAAAAAGGAAAAAAAAAAGAAAAACAAAAAAAAATAAAGAAAAGAAAGTAATATTTTGTATTTTCAATTTGCATTACTTTATCGAAGATATCGATTAGCATTTAGTCATTACGTTATCCGACTTATAACTTTTTCTCACAGGGGCTTCGATAAATAAAAATATATGGTAGTAGCACGAGGATTAATACATCTAATTAACATTGATACATGTGTGTACATTAACAAAATATACTAATTGTAATTTATTTTTGGAACATGCATGCGTATGAATGACATTCGGCGTGGTGTGTATGTGTGTATATATATATATATATATATATATATATATATATATATATAAACACACACACAGATATATGTATATGAAAAAAGAAAGATTTGTATAAATTTTCACACACGATTGCTTTCATATTAACGCAAAACTTTAATTTTTCCCAAAAATCTTTGTTTCCATTTACAGAACGACTGCAGCGATGACTTTAAACGGCTTCTGATCGCACTTTTGAATTAATGAAAGATCACGGTGACTTTCTTCTTATCTGAGAGCAATTCAATCATGCATCCTTAATATTAAGTATTAATCATTCGCGTGTCTCACAAATGTAATATCTATATTTGTTTTTAATAAACATGCACGTGTGCGAATAATGATCTGACTATTTTTTACGATATTTTTTTTATCAACGATATTCACTTATTCTTTTTTACAGAATGATTGCTCCGCCGAATGGAAAAAGCTTCTGATCGCAATGCTGAACTAGATATATTACATACATTATCTATTCAACATATTACGCATATTCAACATATTCACAATACATTACATTATCTATTCAATTTATAGTTTACGATTTACTTTTTTATTTGCTTTTATATGAAGAAAAATTTTTATTGTAAGAAATCTTTTTTTATTATTAGTAAATACATGGATTATAAATGTAACGAATATATTTATTAATTACTGATACAATTAAAATAATAGATATACATTATGTTAACATTAACAGAATTAAATGTAAATATTCAAAATATATACTTCAGATACAATACAAATATTTGTAGCTTATAATATATAACATTGATATAAAATTATACCATTAGGACATTAGGATGTCCTTTATATATTTCCTTTGGCGATTTAAATTTTTTAGTAATGCAATCTAGTGGTATTACTATTTCTTTTACTAGTAACATTTTTATTGTTATTTCAAAACATATATGAATATCTACTTTGCTTACATCTATGTCATAAAGGCGTAAACAAATTTCATTTGTCAATATTGGCAATTTTGGAAATTTTGACAAATGTAAAAAAGCGTAGCAAATCGGTGGTGGATTTCTTGCTGTAAAAACGTATACATTCAAATATACATTATGTATATATAGAATGTATTTATTCAATTAGAAATTTTCATTAAGATTACCTGATACTGTTTCATTGATTATAATAATAGTATTATAAGTCACAGTTACAGAAAAGCCATATTCTTGATCCAAATAAGTTGCATTTCCGCAGACTAAAAATAATATTTTGTAATAAGCAAAATATAAATATATTATTAATATGCATTAATAATATTAATATTTATTACTAACACGATCCATTTATATTAATGGTATCCCATTCTATATGTTTGCAACATCCACAATCATATCGTATACATTCACAACCATTTTCAGTTAAATTAATAATTGTATCTGAAATATAATAAAAAATATAAACAAAAAAAATTACATCTATTTATATTGATTTTTATATCATTTGTTTACTTATACCTTGTACAGAGTGATCTACTATTTGTTTACTCAAATCTTCTATTCTAGGATCTGCTATTGCAAGATCTACAATAGATGCAGATATAAGAACAGCAATAATCAAATATTTGATCTCCATCATCTTGTCACCCTATAAAATAAAAAATTTGTACATTTTTATATATAAGGAATAGAAATCTATTAATGTATTGTTTATATGATAATTATAATTAGACAAATGCTGCAACTAAAAAACTTGTTATATCATTGTCAATATTATAATAAGTTTTATTTAAAAAGTTTAACAAAAAAACACTTAAAAGTAATATTTACTTATTACAAATAGATTTCATGGTCATCAAAATGCAATAAACTAATGGCGATATAAAGGTATCTTTACAAAATCAGTAATTTTACAAAATGCAAAATCGAGAAGTATGTATTCTAGAAATATTATCGGTTTAAGGAAAATCATATTGTCTTGAAAAATCAAATACGTTTGATGCCGGGCATATAAACGAGTAGATGATTATTAGTTCTGAAAAAACGATTTGAAGAAATTCTTGACAATAATAATTTATATCTTTTTTTTATATGATAACATTGATAAAAATTATACTGTTTTCATTTTAATAATGTATGTAGTAAAGTATATAATATAAGTAAAGTAACGATCGGTATAAATAAATAATTATTATAAATTCATATATTCTCACATTTGTATCGCGGAAATGATGAGAGAGTGACAGAGAGAGAGAGAGAGAGAGAGAGAGAGAGAGAGAGTGAGAGAGAGAGAGAGAGAGGAAATGAGTGTAACAAAGAAAAAAGAAATACACTTAGAAAATATTATAAATAAATTATTTTAGTAATTTATAATTTATGCTTCATTATAGAACGTTCAAAGGACAACAATAGTATCTAACGGGTGTTAAGATTAGAATATGAAATTAATATATAAATCGAAAGAAATGATTTAGAAAAGAGATTAATCTATTATCGATAATCGTTCAAAAATAATTTAGCAATTTACAAATTGAGATTTGAATGAATAAATACATACGTTTATGTATATATATATATTTATATACTATATATATAAATTTATATATATATATATATAAATTTATATATATATATATATATATATATATATATATATATATATGTGTGTGTGAAATAAAAATGACAATTTTATGATAGAACTTGGTAAAGAAAGAAGCGATGGTAAAGAAGAACAAGGTTCAGATTCTTAAAATGTTAAATTAATTATTACATTTCCATGGATTGACAACTATCGACAAAATTATGAACTAATTATATTTAGATTTTATGCATATTAAGGGACATGGTAGTTTTCAATTATTAATTACTTTAATTAATTTTCATATTTATTATATGACGATTTTATAAGAATTTTAGAAAAATATAAATTATGTTTAGCGATAAGCTGTATAAAATTTTTATACAATTTTTATTTGTTAAATATTTCATATTTACTAATTTAAAGAATGTCATTGAGCAACAATTGGATTCATTTGGAAATTTTATTAGTAAAAGTTTCGATATTGTTTTTCAAATTCTTTGAAATTATAGATTTCGCTTTTGTATCAGATCGATACAAAAATTTCTTCATATTAAAAAAGATAGTTAAAAATAAGTTCTTTTTTTTTTTTTTTTTTTTTTTATAATTATGTATTGTTCAAATAAAATATTTATAATATTGTTTTCCTTTTGTGTTCCATCGATTAGAAGAGTTTTACTTTCTACTGTATATATGAAACGAATAAATTTCATATTAAGCGCCATATGTTTATACATATCCCCGTTAGGCGGCGCTGACGACTTAACTGTTTTAGAGAATTCTTTATAACCAATATATCGCTACTACACAACGTCAAAATGTTTTTCATGTTCAATTAAATATCGTTGAATTTAGTGCAATGGCTGATGCCGTTGATGTCGTTACGTTCTTTAATTTTGAATGATTGTTTTAAGTGAAACTTATAATAGAAGATACTATCAAGTTTGTATTAATTATATTTGTAAATATGTATTTTGATATTCGTCGACAAGTAAGAAATGGAAAAATATCATATATATGTCAATAAAAGGGTATAAAAGTGATCCAATTTGATTTAACTAATTGAATAAATCATTGATATCACACATTCATGCAATTAATATATGAGAAAAATCAAATATTTATGTGTATATGGTAAATATTTATTATTATAATCTTGAATATTATATAGAAATATTAATATAATCATTTAAAAATATTGTGTTGTAAATAAATATCCCATTAGATAATTTTCTTTTATCTGTTAATAAGAAATAATAATTTACATATAATATTTAATCTAAATAAGAAAATTATAATTTACTTCAAATCATTTTTATATAAAACAGATAGTTGTTTATATTGTATATCATATGGAATGTAACAATCAAAATATATCAACAATGAGTGAAAATGAATCTATGTATGGGACAACATTATCTCAAGAATCAATAAAAGTGATTGCTGAGAGTATAGGAGTAGGAAACTTTCCAGATGAAGCGGCCAAGGATTTAGCTGAAGATGTCAGTTATAGACTCAAGGAAATCATACAAGTTAGTAGTAAATAATATCAAATTTTATATACTATTATTATAATAGATAATATAAATGAGACATTGTAAGTAAAAATGGGATGAACTCAACAAAGATCCATTATAATTACCAAGTGAAATTTGTCCTATGTTTTTGTAAATCTATTGTTCATAAAAGTTATTCAATATTTTTTAAACTTTATTTTATATGGAAAGAAAAGACAAACTCAATATAAAAATTCTATTGGCTTGTTTCTTATAGGTGATAAATCGATTTCTCGAAAAAAACATTTACCAATCTTAAGTTTGCCTTTTGTACTTGCAACATCTTATATATATCTATATATATATATATGCCAACTGAATTGTATTATTCTTATCTTATAATTTTATAGGACGCTGCAAAGTTTATGAGACATGGGAAGCGTCAACGTTTGACAACTCATGACATAGATCATGCATTAAAAATAAAAAATATTGAACCAACGTATGGATTTTTTGCTAAAGATCATATACCATTTCGTTTTGCTTCTGGTGGTGGTCGTGAATTGCATTTTGTAGAAGAAAAAGAAATAGATCTCAATGAAGTTGTTTCTATGTCTGGTGGACAAGCATGGCCCAAATTACCTTTAGAAATTACCTTACGTGCACATTGGCTTTGTATAGATGGTGTACAACCAACAATACCAGAAAATCCACCTCCTGTATCTAAAGGTAATCAATTTGTTATATATTAATGTATTGCTATCACATATATACTTATTATATGCTAATATCATTATAAGGAAGACTAACAAAAATAATTTTTTCTTTACAGAAGCTCAAAAATTAGAAAGCGTTGATCCTACGAGCAAATTAACTAACAAGAATCAAAATATAGGCGCTGGAAAACCAGGTGGTGGTGGAAAAAGTCAAAAATTACGTAATGTAGAAACTGTACATGTTAAACAATTGGCAACTCACGAATTAAGTGTAGAACAACAACTATATTATAAGGAAATAACGGAAGCTTGTGTTGGCTCTGATGAAGCTCGGAGAGCAGAAGCATTACAATCATTGTCTGCAGATCCAGGTTTACATGAGATGTTAGCACGTATGTGTACGTTTATTGCAGAGGGTGTACGAGTTAATGTTGTGCAAAATCACCTTGCACTACTTATCTACCTTATGCGTATGGTTAAAGCACTCCTTGATAATCCAAGTCTATATCTTGAAAAATATGTATGTAGTTTATTATGTGTAATATTTGTTTTGATTTATTTATATGAAAGTTTTTTTTGTTTCTTTTTTTTTTTGTTTTTTATTAATCCATTAATAAAATAAAATTACAGCTTCACGAGTTAATACCATCAGTTGCTACCTGTATAGTTTCACGTCAGTTATGTATGAGACCAGAAGCTGATAATCATTGGGCTTTGCGAGACTTTGCTTCTCGGCTCATGGCTCAAATATGCAAGAACTTTAATACTTCTACAAATAATGTACAAACTAGAGTAACTCGCATGTTTAGTCAAGCTTTAGCTAAATGTAAAGAGGTAAGATAAATTTATTAAATATATACTATAAATATCTCTAAAAATAATTTTTTAATAAAGATAATTTTTTTAGACACCTCTAGCATCTCTCTATGGAGCAATCGAAGGATTATGTGAATTAGGTCCAGAGGTGATAAAAGCATTAGTTATACCTAAATTGAAATCAATTTCTGAACGCATTGAATCATGTATTGAAGGTCCAGGATTATCTAGCATTGATAAAAATGGTGCTGGCCATATAAAATCATTACTCGTTGTAAGTATAATCATTATTTCTTTTTTTGCAAATTAATAAAAGTAATTAGAAATTATGCTTTTACCAAGAATAATTTTTTTCAGAAAGTAAAAAATATAATATAAATATTCAATGTTTTTTTTTTTTTTTTTTTTTTTTTCTTTAAGATTGTCTATAAGATAAGAATTGGCTATTTTCAGAAATCAGTAGCACCTGTTTTAAAAACAGTACGAACAGCACCAGATTATGTTGAAGAATATAAATTGGATTATGGTTACATAGGACCAGCCTTATGCGCAGCAGTTGCTAAAGCTCGAACACAACCAACAGCTTTAGCATCAACTGCTACAACTACCACATTAACTACAACTCAGCAACAGGGACCTACTTGTACTACCAAGACTCTTGTACAAACAGGTAATTAATGTTATTGTTACATGGATTTTTTTATCTTAATTTTAAATATCTTCATTTTTTCAATTTATAATTTTCAATTTTTAATTTCAAATATTTTCAGTTTATCCTTTAATAAGAAAATAAATCAGATTAATAAATATTATCAGAAAGAGAATATATATATCAGATTTATATTTTATATAATTTATAATACAATATAACTTGTTTTTATCTTATTCTTATTAGAAAATGTTTCAGTGTCAAATTCGAACCCTGGTCAACAAGCAGGACGAACGATAATGCTTGGTACAAGTAGAACTGGTAATACAACCACAACTGGTGGAGGTCAGAAATTTGTTATTTTGCAATCTCGATCTCAAACGCCTACCGCATCAAATATAAATAGTGGTACGATACAACAACAGCAATCTCAGACACAACAACAACAAGTAAAAATTGCACAAACTAATGTAAATTCACAAAAATCACATTTGCAAAATGTGGCGCCTAAATTGGTTGTTGTGTGTATGTCTAATAGCAGTCATACAAATACATCTGTCACACAGGTATGTAATTATATATAGTGTATATATTATGTTATACATAATATTCTAAATCAGAAAATATTTTTTATATTATAACACATAATTTTTCAGCAAGCAAATATGACAAATAAGACGCAAAATGTCTTTGTAACACAACAGAGCGTCGAACATGCATTAAGTCCAGAAGAAGAACAATCATTTGAGTAAAAGTTATATTTTGAGTAAATTAATACGTAATAATGTTAAAGTAAATTGTAGAAATTATTTTTGTACAATATTTCTCATATATCATGTGCATAGTTGTATATAAAACCAAATTTTGGTATATATTTGCCTATTCTATTAAACAAAATTTTTTGAATATTTTCAAATATATTGATTATAATATTTACAGTTATTCCTCTTAATTAAAAAGAATACAATTAATGGACGTGG